AGGCCAATCAAGATGAAATTTTATGCTGTTACCATTACGTTATTGAGTTCGATAATCAAGTTAAAGACATTATGAAAAATGAGCAAGTTGGTGAGAAAAAGCAAAAGGACAAATCTACAATTTTATTATTGCACAGCTTGATACTAAACGTAATACATTACAGAAGCAAACAGAAAGAGCTAGAAAAATTTACAGCCTATTCGAAAAAATAGGTTTAGACAAGGTCCAATATATCAAATCATATAGTGCAAATGCTATTTCGAAATTTACTAATTCTCAGATTCAAACGATTATAGATCACTTTACCAAAAAGCCTGATATAGAATATACCGATGAACAGGACAATTCTTCAGATGATCAAGATTCGGAATTACCAGAAGCTTCGGTAAATGCATCTACTGGAACCGAGGTAAGTGAAGTAAATGATACAAATGCCAATGATAACAAACCACAATCTTTAATTACACTTTATCTGACGATGAGCCAGAAAATTTCTCCGATGACGATGAATTCACCAATGATAACGAAGACGATGGGAGCTTCTGTGGTTTCTCTGATGACGATGATGAAGGTTATTATTATGATTTAAATACCGGCGAAACTTATACAAAATCGAACCGTTCGATCTATGCTTATTAGATACAGAATTCCTTGCTTCGCAGACAATAAACATTTATAAACGATGCATTTATACCGATGTATCCGGCATCTGTGTGCCTATATATTTTATTGTTACAATAAAGCGAATTTTTTTATTGCACGTCGCATCGATGTTTTTGATTAAAATATTGCCGTAGAAGTTCCATATCTGACACATGAAATCTATTTCGGGTGTATTACAAGCATATTAATTTTCCAGTGATAGGAATGTACGACACCCACCATTTGAGATCACCCGGTCCGAGATAAACAAATCCGAGATGTGTTATTAATAGCGATCACCCGGAAAAATTTCTGCCGAAAAGTAATGTGATACACGCATTGTGCAACCGAATACATTTCTCACATATACCCATGCCGGTAAAATTTGTCGTTTTTTCGCTTTTTCTTGTGTACCATTCCGCAGTCTACCACCAAAAAATCATATATAACTCAAAATGTCCACTACTTTATTCTGTCTTGTCAAAGGAAACACATCCACGAACGCTTTCTCTGTTAAAATAAATAGGGATGAGCCTATTAGTGAGCTCAAGAAGGCTATCAAAGCGAGAAAGCAGAATGATTTCGCTGGTGTTGACGCCGATAAACTCAAGCTGTGGAAGGTGGAAATCCCAGCCGATCGCGATGACCTTATCCAGGGACAGACTTTACAAGACAACGATCAGTTACTACCGATACGCTATCTCGATGAATACTGGACTGCCACCCCAAAAAGAAGGCACATCCATGTAATCATCAAGTTGCCACGTAAGTACTAAGCACCATATGCAAATTTTTTCGTATCCGTAATATTTACTCCAGACACGTCTATTTTCTAGTTCTCACTCTCGAAGAGGCATTGTCGTATGTTACGCCACCTATTTACTATGCTTCGAACGCTTCTAGCTCAACTAACGCGGGTGGTGATCCCCCGATAGAAGTGGCGCTTTGGGAATCCTTTTTCGACGACGTGAATGGCTTTACTTTCGATTCTATCGATCCAAAACCGAAATTTGAAAAACCGCAATTTAACAATAGTTATGTGAATGTGCGCTACGAAGAGGGTGTTCGCTCCGCTTTTGAGGTCAATATTTGTCAGGTATTAAATAAGCTCATGGGGCCAGATTACGAATTTTCCAGATGGCAAGATGGTAGTCCAGGCATACCAGACTTTAATTGTCACTACACCATACAACTGATATTGTGTATTGAGAATAAAAGAGGACTCGTTTTAAGAGAGATTAGCGGAAGAACCTTTTCAGAATTTTACGAATCGAGTTCAAAAGCAAAGATGGTGATTCAGCAGATTTATAACTATATGTGTAACAGGCAACTTCAATACGGTGTCCTCTCTACCTATGAAGATCATTGGTTTTTGCGTCGACCGCCTGAGACCCCATCAAAGCTTTTTGTTTCATCAACTCTTTCATCGCAGTCGGAATCTCCAACGGTACTCAAAGCTTATGCATATATAGCTAAGCAAGCAAGAGTTAGCTTTCCTTCTCCCCATCCTAATGTAATTACGGTGCCAGACGGTGAAGGTTCGGACGCTACGATGCAAAATACACGGATTACTCGATCAATGGTTCGAAAAAAAGAGGACTCAACTCAGGGATCATCTTCCAACGACTCGGCAAATCAGCCAAATCAGCAGAACCTTGGCTTTGCGGACTTCGAGTTTAAGAGCTTGTTAGGCGAAGGACGAAGTGGAAAGACACTACTCTGCGAATTCCGCGGAGAAAAAATTGCCTTGAAGACTGTGGATCTATACAAAGCCTCACCAGATATCTTGAAAGAAATGCAGAAAGAAGTCAAAATCTATAAAGATCTCAAAGACATTCAAGGGAAATACATTCCAAAATTGGTATGTTATGGCTACTATGAAGGTGGATGGTGCTATGTCATTGGTACAACTCTTGTTGGTACGCACTTAAGTAATGATAAGAAGATAACGACACAGCAAAAGTCTAAGGCTCTTAAGGCACTAAACGAAATTCACAAACGCGGTGTACTCCACAATGACATCCGGGAGGAGAATATTTTACTTGGTAGTGCGGGTCGTGTGTA